TGTATAAGAGACAGGGCAGGTGCTTATCACTGCTCTGCGCCCATTTGCAGAGGGTGAAAGCAAAAGCAGAGAGTGCAAGAATGAGGAAATGTTCCCGCTGGCCCTGCTTGCTCCTGCCAGTGCCACTGTGGCTTTCCCAGCTGCAGTCTGTGCTCGGGCTGGGTGGGCTTTCCAAGGAGAAGCGAAGGAAAGCACCGCTCCACCTAACGCCAAAACGGTCCCCCCACCTATTTTCAGAGAATCAAAACCAATGAAACAGGAGTTTGTTTGACCTGAAACAAAATGTTTCATCTTGTTTGTTTACTTTTTTTCCCGACTGAAGTCAGGTTTAGGCTGACTTCCTTTTTCTTTCAGGTTCATTTTTAAATAACAAAGTAAAAAGCAGTGAGGCTGCGTTTTGAACCTGCCAAGGAATGGGCAGCTTCTGAGCATTCCCAGAAGGAAACAGGAATATTAGAAAAGCTTGATATTAACTCCTTCATTGTTTTCAAAAGAAAAAAAGAAAATCCCTGTATTTTTCTCTGTGAGCCCTGTTTGCGGAGTTTAGCCAGGGTGCTCAAATACTGCTGGGTCCACAGATCTCTTGTTCTGTGTGTCTGTATATGCATTTTGCTAGAGAAGAAGGGAGTTTCAGAGCTGAGCACCCCCTCCACCTCCCTGGGATGCCCAAGCCGTGGCACAGGTAGAGCCTCTCCCTGGGGCTGTGCCGTAGGAGAGGCTGTCGGTGCACAGCGAGGACGCAAGGACTGAAGTCCCAAGGACACAGCGCTGGGAGCAGGGGACAGGTGAGTGTGGGACAGGCTGCTCACGCAAAGCAGCCGCTTGCAACGGGATGGAGCCGTGGCCAGTGTGGTCACGCTCGGGCTGAGCAGAGCCCCAAGCGCTCCCTGATGCTGTGTCCGTGGGCAGCCTGGCTGGCCCCTGTTTACTGCAGAGCCAGGGCGAAGGTGGTGCCTGGGCGTTCGTGCTTCCCCTCGGGAGCCAGCGGTCTGCCGGCGTGCTGGGCTGTTTATAGCATAACTCTGGGTAACTCATTGACCTCCGCGCCGGCGGCTCTGCTGGGAAGCGGAGGTTCCCAAGATGATAAGCCACTCTTGGAAGAAATTCCTTTCCTCGTGCGAGGGAGTGGCGGTGCTGGGCACGCTCACCCGCCTTGCAAACACGTACACAGCCCTGTGCACACGCACGGGTGCGCACCGCGTCCCGGCGCCGGCAGCGTTCCCTCGGGGGGACCCAGCCTGGAGACACTGGAGATCCGTGGCCAAGAGTTCTGCAGGAGGAAGGCGGTGGTGGGGAGCAGAGCAAGGGGCCCCGCGCAGGCCCCGCGGAGGAGCAGGTCAGTACAGCCGCTTGCACCGCTCTGCCGCTGCACCCGCCGTGCTGGGTCTCTCGCTGGGCGCCGGTCGCATGCCTGTGCCCTTCGTCCCCAGCTGAGCAAACACGGCTGGGACACGGCGGTTGCAGGTGACTGGAGCGGTCCAGTGCCGGGACACGGCTGCGTAAATCCAGCTTGGGGCAGAGTTTCCATTTTTGGTCCCTGCTGAATTGGAGGCTCAGATGTGGCGATGATGAGCACACCGGGGAGGGATAGGTTTGTTTTGGGTCTTTTGTACCCAGAAACTGATAGGAGACGGACAGCAGAAATCACGGCAGACACGCTGCATTTAGGAAGTGGATTTGGTCCCGGGGAAAGGTGCTGGTGCATGACAGCCCTGGAGACCAACAGTGTCTGCAGCAGCTGTGTCCCCCAGACAGAGTGTGCCCAGTCCCCCTGCCCACTGTTTTGTGCCCTGGGGAGGGAAGTGTGGCTGGCTGGTGCTCTGCCTGCAGACGCTACCTGGCCTGGCTACACTGAGTTCACAAAGGCAGTAGAGACCCTGCAGAGCTGGCACAGGCAGAGACCCACAGCCAGCACAGGCTGAGACCCCCAGGAAATATACTTTCTATAAGTAAGTTCTATACTTACTAGGACTAGGTTTTTCCAGGGAGGCCAGTCTGAGGGCTTCAGCAGCAGCAATGGGCTCTCTCCAGGGGACATCGAGGGTCTGTAAGCAACAGAGTAGGAAGTGGAATGAAAGGTTTTTGGGTTGATGGCCAAAAGGAAAATTCCATTTCAGGTCAAACAGGAGGTTGATACCTTTGCTTGCAGAGGGGTGAGTTTAGGCACTAAGTTATCTAGGTAAACTTAAAAGAAAAAAAGAAATTTCAAGACCACAAAGGAAGACATTTTTGTTTAGAAAATGAAACAAAACGTTCTGTTGATTTAAAAAAAAAAATATTTTCCACTGGGTAGAAGAATTTGACACTAATTGGTGAGGAGGTGTTGCTAAAAACAACAACATTCTAAGGGAAACAAAAGTCTTTGAAAACACCTGCCCTGTTTGAATGTTGACCACTTTGACAACTTGGGCCCAAAACAGCAACATCTTTTCTGTAAAGATGTGCCTGCCTCCATCACAGAAACACAGGCTGAGCACAGGCAGGCTGAAACCCATGCCTGGATCTGAATTTCCCATCCAGTTCCTGCACCTCTGGAGCATCCCTAGGTCAGTTGGGGGAGTTTTCTAAATGCAGAGCTTTCCAGGGCCAGCATGCAACAGGAACAGACAGTGTCCTTGCCACAGGGAGAGCAGTGCCGGCCTGTCTCAGCAGCTCACCCTTCGTTCAGGTCCCTGCAGCATATGGGAAACATCAGCTCGACTTTAGCACACCAGGAGAGAGCTGCAGCACTTTGCACTGTAATGTCTGGGGCTCAGGAGGGCGGGTGAGCTGCAGCAAGGAGGATGGTCCACTTCTTCAGGCAACCCCAACATTTTGACATCTGGTTTCTCCTGATGAGGACTAGAAATCCCCATTCTTTCAGTCTTTTGCTGGGCGGGCAGGCTGGTACCTGGCCAGGTCTGCACAGGAGCATCGCTTGGTGCAACCCTCCCTGCAAAGCCTTCTGGTTTGACTTCACTTTTGTTAGAAATTTCCCCGCCAGTTCCATGAACACGGACTCTATCCTGCCACAGCCTGTCCCACAGCTAGATACTCCTCATGCTTTGTTTTAGGGTTATTGCAGTGGTGCCAGGCAGCCCCCATCATGGCATGGGAATCTGGTGAGAAATTACTCACTGGTGTCATTACTCACTACTCTAGAGAAGCTCAAGGCCTTGTCATGCATTGGTATGCAGCCTGGCTATCTGGGAGAGCCACTGCAGTGGTGGCACTGGCATTGGCTGGTTGCTGAAGTAAAGGTCCATCCATAAAAGACCTCCCTATCTATGACTTCTCTCCCTAGACCTTTTGGTTTTTATTTTGCAGGGGCTGTGTTGCTTTTCCCTAGAGATGGTCTGCAGACATCTGCCACCCATAGCACAGTGAGACCACACAGCTGGTCCTGAGTCCTGATCCTGGAGACTGGGAAGGTCAGAGCATGTGAACAAAGAGGCAATAAGACTCAATCCTGGGCAGCACAAGGGATCCTGCACAGCAGACAAATCCCTCCCTCCTGGTGTTTGCATCTGGGATTCAGACAGTTCTGATCCCAGAGATGAGATGAGCCCTGCTAGCCCCACAGGAGCTCACAGTCTCTCTGTTTGCAGAGAGCTCAGCTGTGGCTTGCCTGGACGTAGCTCTGCTCTGCTGAGGTTATTGTAGAGCAGGCAGTGCTGTGAATCAGGGAAAGTGCTGGCTTGGGAGGGCAGTCCAGGAGTGGCTGCACAGCCAGCACCAGATGGAGGATGCTGGACGAGCCCCAGCGGTGCATCCCCACAGGTAAGACAGGTGCTTGCAGCAGTGTCAGGAACAGGGATGCCTTTAGAGGTGGGTAGAGATCCGCGTTGAAGCTCTCTGGAGGAGCCAGCTGGAGGCTTGGGCAGGCGTGGGGCTCCCCATGCCATGGCCAGCAAGAGGAATGAGAGGAATGTGCCACGTGGGCCAAGCGATGCATTCCCAAAGGCAAGGGCAAGACAGGAGCTCAGGGCAACAGTGGGGCCAGCACAAGGCAGCAACTCCAGCCAGCAGGATGAGAGACTCCAGGGTGCCGCATCCAGCTCTGCAACCCCCTGCACAAAAAAAGGCACGGACCTGTTAGAGAGGATTCATAGGATAGGAGGGCCATGAAAATGACTGGAGGGCTGGAACTCCTCTCCTAGGAAGAAAGGCTGAGAAGAGAAGGCTCCAGGGACGCCTTATTGCAGGCTTTCAATGCCAAAAGGGGGCTTAAAAGAATGATGGAGAGAGTCTTTTCACTGGGGTCTATAGTCACAGGGCAAGGGGCAGTGGTTTTAAACTGAAAGAACATAGATTTAGATTAGATATAAGGAAGAAATTATTTGCTGTGAGGGTGGTGAGACACTGGTACAGGCTGCCCAGAGAAGCTGTGGCTGCCCCCTCCCTGGCAGGGTTCAAGGCCAGGTTGGACGGGGCTGTGAGCAACCTGGGCTAGTGGAAGGTGTCCCTGCCCATGGCAGGAGGGTTGGAACAAGGTCTTTAAAGGTCCCTTGGGAGACTTCAGCATACCAGATGTCTACTGGAAATACAATACAGCAGAGAAGAAACAGTCTTGGAGGTTCCTGGAGTGCGTGGAAGAGAACTTCCTGACACAGTGGGTGAGGGAGCCAACTAGGGAAGGTGCCCCACTGGACCTGTTGTTTGTGAACAGAGAAGGACTTGTGGGTGATGTTATTATGGTTCGGGGCCATCTCGAGCATGATCATGAAATGATAGAGCTTTCAATTCTCAGGGAAGTAAGGAGGGGAGTCAGCAGAACTGCCACCTTGGAGGCAGAGTTTGGCCTGCTTGACAGAGTCCCTTGGGAGGCTGTCCTAAGGGTAAAGGACTCCAGGAAGGCCAGACATTCTTCAAGAAGGAAATCTTAAGGTTCAGGAGCAGGCTGTCACCATGGACCAAAAGACAAGCTAGCAGGGAGGAAGACCAGCCAGGCTGAACAGAGAGCTTTTGATGGAACTCAGAAAAAAAAAAGAGTTTATGACCTTTGGAAGAAGGGGCAGGCAACTCAGGAGGACTACAAGGATGTCATGAGGTTATGCAGGGCCAAAATTAGAGGGGCCAAAGCCCAAATAGAACTTAATCTGGCTACTGGCATAAAATACAATTAAAAATGTTTCTATAAATACATTAGAAACAAAAGGAGGGCAAAGGAGAATCTCCATCCTTTATTGGATGCAAGAGGAAACATAGTGACAAAGGATGAGGAAGAGGCTGAGGTACTGAATGCCTTCTTTGTCTCAGTCTTTACTAGGAAGACCAGTTGTCTTCAGATACCCAGCCTCCTGAGCTGGAAGACAGGAATGGGGAGCAGAATGAAACCCCCATAATCCAAGGGGAAATGGTTAGCAACCTGCTATACATATGTCTCTGGGGTGAGATGGGATCCACCCAAGAAGGTGGCAGAACCACTCAACAAGACACTTTCCATCATTTGTCGACAGTCCTGGCTAACTGGGGAGGTCCCAGTTGACTGGAGGTTAGCGAATGAGATGCCCATCTACAAGAAGGGCTGGAAGGAAGATCCAGGGAACTACAGGCCTGCCAACCTGACCTCGATGCTGGGGAAGGTTGTGGAGCAGATCATCTTGAGTGCCATCACGTGACACGTACAAGACAACCAGGTGACCTGGCCTAGTCAACATGGCTTGATGAGAGGCATGTCCTGTTTGACTGACCCGATTTTTTTCAATGACAAAGTGACCCACTTAGTGGACAAGGAAAAGGCTGTGAATGTTGTCTACCTAGACTTCAGTAAAGCCTTTGACACTGTTACCCACAGCATTCTCCTGAGGAAACTGGATGCTCATGGCATACTCTTCGCTGAGTAAAAAACTGACTGGATGGCCAGGCCCAAAGTGTTGTGGTGAACGGAGTTAAATCCAGTTGGCGGCAGGTCACAGCTAGTGTTCCCCAGGGCTCAGTGCTGGGTCCAGTTCTGTTTAATATCTTATCAATGATCTGGATGAGGGGATCGAGTGCACCCTCAGTAAGTTTTCAGACAATACCCAGTTAGGCAGGAGTGTTGATCTGCTTGGGGGTTGGAAGGCTCTATAGAGGGATCTGGACAGGCTGGACCGATGGACTGAGGCCAATTGTATGAGGTTCAGCAGGGCTCAGTGCTGGGTCCTGCACTTGGGTCACAACAACCCCACACAACACTACAGGCTTGGGGAAGAGTGGCTGGAAATCTGCCCAGCAGAAAAGGACCCGGGGTGTTGGTTGACAGCTGTCTGAATATGAGCCAGCACTGTGCCCAGGTGGCCAAGAGGGCCAATGGCATCCTGGCTTGTGTCAGAAATAGTGTGGCCAGCAGGACCAGGGAAGTGATTGTCCCCCTGTGCTTGGCACTGGTGAGGCTGCACCTTGAATACTGTGTTCAATTTTGGGCCCCCCATGACAAGAGAGACATTGAGGTGCTGGAGTGTGCCCAGATAAGGGCAATGAAACTGGTGCAGGGTCTAGAGCACAAGTATTATGAGGAACAGCTGAGGGAACTGGGGGTGTTTAGGCTGGAGAAAAGGAGGCTCAGGGGAGACCTTATTGCTCTCTACAACTACCTGAAAGGAGGTTGTAGCAAGGTGGATGTCGATCTCTTCTCCCAAATAAAAAGTGATAGGACAAGAGGCAATGGCCTCAAGTTGCACCAGGGGAGGTTTAGATTTGATATTAGGAAAAATTTCTTCACCAAAAGGGTTGTCAAGCATTGGAACAGGCTGCCCAGGGAAGTGGTTGAGTTACCATCCCTGGAGGTGTTTAAGAGGGGTGTAGATGTGGCACTTAGGGACATGGTTAGTGATGGACTTGGCAGTGTTAGGTTAACAGTTGGACTTGATGATCTTTAAGTCATTTTCTAACGTAAATGATGTTATGTTTCTATGATTCTAACCCAAACCATTCTCTGACTCTGTGCCCACCACCCCCGCCTCGCCAGCAGACGGTGCCTGGTCAAAAGGCCCATTGTGCATTGTGGCTGGGGCTGGGGCTGAGCCGCGGTGGTAGCCGGGCAGGGAGCAGCACGCTCATCCCTGCCAGTGCAGCAGCAGCCTGCTGGCGCGGGGCTGGTGGAGTTGCTGGACACATGGGCTGCTGCTTGGGGACCCCCTGGCACCAGGACTTGTCCCTGGGGTGCACAGGTAAGCTGTGTGTGGGGATGACATGGTCCTGCTCTGTCTAAGCAGGGCTGTGAGACCTGTGGCTGCAGAGATGACGGGGCTGGTGGGGAGATCCAGTGCTGGACACTAGCTTTCTTTTGGCTACTTGCCTGCCTTTCCCAAGATGGTCACTGGTGTCCCCTCCTCTTGCTGGGCACTTGCTGTGGTCACTGGATTTGGGTGTGTGGGGAAGCCGGCAGGGCATTTTGGCCAGGGAGGGGAGAAGATGACTCAGGAGTTTGGTTTATTCCCATGCTGTTGGCTTTTCAGGACCCCTCTTGCCACCCCTGTCCTGCTGCCACTGCTGCCCAGGAGCACCTCAAACGTCGTAAGGCTTGCAGAGCCCATGGGGTGCTGCCAGCCCCTGAGGTGCGATTCCCATACCGGCATGCCTGGATGAGCTACTGGGGCTGTGCTAACGAGATGGAGGAGGGAGGTGGCCCAGGGCCAGCAGCTGTGGCCATGTGTCCTCTGGGAGAGCCCGTGTCAGCGGGTGCCGCAAGTGCCTCAGCCCCAGCTGCAGGGAGTGCAGCCCCAAGCACCCGGACCTGTGCTTGGCTCCAGGCTGGGGCTGCTTCCTGCCCACTGTTACAAAATACTTCAGCACCAGGGAGGTAAATGAGTCACTGGGCGACTGAGAGCAACTCCCCACCAGCAGTTTCAATTGGTCTCTTGAAAAAGCTCCCAGTTCCCTTTCTGAGTCTGGTCCAAACAAAAATAAACACTAAATCGGCGAGTGCTGCAGGGAGCAAACCCCTTTCTCCTCTTGCCTGAGTGACCTTGGTCCCCGCCTGGCTCTGTGGAGACCCACCAGCATGCTTGGTCATGCTGCTGGCAGAGGTGGCATGAGTGGTGTCCGACCTGCCACTTCTTTCAACACATCGTATGGAGACCCCTCGGGCAGGGAGCATTCTGCTGGGGATCTGAACGCCTCTCCCCACCACCCATCTTCCCCAGGTCAAGAGTGTGACTCCTGCTGCCCCCGCTCGCCCATGCTCCTGCCCCGCTGGGACCACCTGCAGCGCACCGCAGCTGAGCGCCAGGGAAAATGGTGGCGAGAGAAGACCATGGCCTCAGGTACCTGCCCCCAGGGAAGGGGGACCCAGCCCCTGACCACCAGGCCCTGCCAAACCCAGCGGAGCCCGCTGGGGTCTGCCGGGATGCAGGGAGAAGAGGAAGGGAGGGAGGAGTGAAGCAACCAGCAGTCAAGCCCAGCCCAGGCAGGAGCCAGCTCGAGTTTAGCTCTGCCTCTGGCTTGTTTCACTTCCCTATCTCTGTTTCCCCCATGAGTGGAAAGGGACAGAGTTGCTGGATGACATCCTTTAAGTGTGTTCAAATTAGCTGTTGAAAAATGTAGAGCCTTTTCTTTCAAAGAAAAGCTTATTCATTACATGTCTGTCCTTGGGTCATTCTTTTTTACTGTTAACCATAAATAATGATTATAATTCTGCATGCAAATAACACTTGATTTGACTGACTAGCAAAGCTGGCTCAATAAAAGAACTGTAGAGTATAGTTATGGTCAGAGAAGTGACTTAGAAAAGCCGCTGCACGTTCCAGCTCCAGATCTCTGGGTATGTGTTTGTCTTACAAGTCCAATCTGATTACTGACAGAAATTGCTTTTTAATCTTGTTATCCCTCCACAGCCAATACAGTTGCAGAAGAGCAAGATGGATTTTTATGTGCCTCAGCCTTTATTAACATAATTACGAGCTAAATTTCAGTTCCCAAATTCTTTATGGCAATAGTTGACAATGTGTGAAACAGAAAGAATGCAGCTTGGATTTCAGATACTGACCAGATCAGGCAGGGGAGAAAATCTTATTTTGACTGTGAAATTGATGAGCAAAGAGTTTTGCAAGCCCTTGGCTCTCCTGTGCTAGGGAAGTGGTCTCACTCTGAAATCTCCTCCGAAAAACTCTCTGTGTCTTGGTGTCATCCTTCTACCAAATCTGCTCACTGAGGGTCTGTTCCAAGAGCAAGGAGGGAAAGTCACCTCACTTCAAAGCCACTCCTCCACTGGAAAGAAGCCAGTCATCAAGGGTATCATGTAGTTAGGACACATCAGTCCCTGATCTTGCCTCCAACCTTGAGCATGGTTTTAGGGTGATAGCAGATTCACACAGTCCCCAGCCAGATCTGCTGCGACCCACGGGCTTTGCTTTCAGGTGGCACGGTTAGGCAGAGTATTCTAGACCTCTGCCACAAAATTTGACAGCAGCTCTTCTGTGTCCCCCCCTCCTTGCTAGGTAAGGCTGGGGCATCGGAGCCAAGCAACCCCACTATGAAGGCAGCAGAAGGCTTGCCAGACACCTCCTTGGTGCTGCTGGCTGTCGGGGAGGGCTTTCCGCCAGGTAAGATGCTGCCTTTGACATCACCCAGATTTCTAGTGGTTGAATGTAGCAGGGCCTGGCACCGCAGCTAACCGATACCCTGTTGTCCCTTGAGCTTCTCATCTTTGCTGCTGAAGGGGAATGACACGTGGGGTTTGTGTTGTTTGAGCATCGCAACCAGGCAAGGGCTGGAGGCACTGGTGGGCTGGCTGCAGGGAGGAAGGGTGGCAGAGGTAGCTCTGTGTGGCACAGAGCTCCTTCTTCCCCTTAACCCTGCACATTTCCTTTTCAAGAGATTTCGCTCTTCTTCTCTGTTGAGAGCCGCTCCTCCCGGTGCCTCAATTCCCAGCTCCAGGAAGCAGCCAGAAAGAAGATGTGGGCCCTGGAGAGTGACAACAGAGATGTCTGTGCCCTGTTCAAGGTAGGAGCCCCAGCCCAGCAGAGCAGAACATGTACTGGGAGGCTCTTGCAGTAGTGGGATGTGTGATGGGATACCAAACCTAGCCAAGAAAGACTTCCTCCAAGGCTGCTGCAGAGTACGTTCCTGCACCCAGGTACTCTGTAGGGGACTGAAATGATGGGGGAAATGAACTGGTAACAGGTGAGAGGAAAATGCAAAGCTGAGCCTCATGTCGGGAGCCTCATATTTGGAGGCTCTGAGCTGCCTGAGGGATCATGCAGATAGCCCTGGGGTGAATCTTTTCACAGGGGTAGGATCACCAAAGCTGTGTGTCAGACTCAGATCCTAGGTGGAGGTGACATCTCTGGACATGATCAGGGGTTCTCAGAGTATTGAGATTCATATAGAAAAATCACCACAGGCATAAGAGATGTTTCCTGGACTGAACTCTCCTTCCCTGCTGGTTTTTAAGGACCTGGCCCCTCAGAGCTCCCTGCAGAGCTTCCCAGAAGACCTTGAACAGTGCAGACATACTAGTGCCAGCAACAGGGAAAGAGCTTCTTCCTCGAGGCACAGTTGCTGCTTTCAGCCTCAGCTACAGTTTGGAAGCTGTGCCTGTCCTGAATGAACACTAACCCACGTGTGGTATGGTTCAGGCATCTGGGCTTCAAAAGCACAGTGGTTCTGGTGTGCACCACAGGCGAAAAGATTAGGAGGAGGAGATGGACATTCTTTGCCCTCCCACTGCTGCACCATGCGGAGCTGTCATCCCTCCTGGCTGAAGGACTCGACTGGCTGGAGCACCCTCCCCTTAGCCCCAGGCAACCCACTCACATAGCTTTGGTCTCAACTATACTAATAAATAAGTGCCTAGTCTCATTCCGGGGTCTAATATTATTCCCAGGCTGACAAAGGAGACACCCCTGTCAGCGTCCCAGGACCTTCCCTTAATCTTGATTTGTCTTCCGTGTGTAGGAGCTGTCAGCCAGGCTGGTCTGTATGCAGGCACAGGAGGATCGGTTCATCCTCACCTTCAAAACCCTAGAAGAAGTCTGGAAGTTTTCCACGTATCTGACTTTAGGTAATGTTTTCAAGGTGTGGGAGATCTAAACAGTGTGAGAAGCATTGTTGGAGAAGGTATTCTTCGATACCAAGAAAACAGTAATGTAATAGGATGTACTGATGAAGAATATGAATTAGAAAGGCCTTGGTGTCCACCTACAGATTTATGAAACCACTGTCTGGATCAGTGAAAGGAGGATGCCTTTGGGTAATCCCCCTATTGCATTTTGGGGATGGAGACAGACTTAGAGGCTGTTGCCTCACAGCATGGCTGCAGACGACACACTGGGAAACACCCAAAGAGCACTTCATCCTGCCCAGTGAAGGAGGGCGCTAACACAGCTTTCCCTCTGGGTTTCTTAGGGTATGTGGGCAGCTGCCTGGAGCAGCTTCTCTTTGACCAGGAGTGCTGGCTGAACTGTGCTCTGATGGAGGACACAGAGATCAGAGTCACTGTGGATGAAGATCGCTTGGCCACCATATATATGGGTCTGCTACTCCAGGAAGGTGAGAAGGGACTGCATGTGTAGGGACTTCCTCAAAAACATCTCAGCAGGGCTGTGTTGTAGCCCTGTGCTGGGCTATGTCTTACACTGATGCTATTGACCTGGGCATGACTCTTTCTATCTGCAGGTAACTTCTTTTCCAGGGCAGTGCCCGGTGTCTGGCAGCAGGAACAGGAGGGAGAGGAAGGCCTGCAGCTCTGCAAGAATGAGCTGATCCATGTGAAGAATGTTGGAGAGGAGTCCAAGTGGGAAGGGATGTCTTTACTGACAGGTCAACGAGGCCTGGTTCCTGTGACAGCTCTAGAGCCAATACCTGACCCATTTTACCAGTAAGTAGACTGGCCAATTAATAGGGCTCAAGCCAAGATTCCTTCCTGATGCTGATGCATAAGCTGGCACCAAGCCTGGGGTGAGAAACTGCTCTTGCCTCTGGCAATGAGCAAGAGCTACACAATTTTATGAGGGTTTACATTATGTATGAAGACAACCACTGGAACCAGTTCAGGTCCTGTTAATGGGACAGAGCAAGGACATACTTCAGATACCATTCTTGTATGATATTGATTTAGGTTATACATGAGATTGTTTGATTTACAGGTGAATAACTGGGAGAAAAAGCATAGCTTAAGTAATGACAATCAAAGTAGGGCCTCATGTTGGACACCTGCCTGAGCCTCAAAGACACCTGCAGCTCCCCTTGTACTCACACAGTGAAATCCTCCTTACAGCCTGGCAAATTTATCCTGCTCTTACCATGTGGTGTGAGGCTGCAGTCGTGAAGTGCAAACTGCCCTGTGTGTCCAGTAACACCACTGCAAGGAATTACTGAACTGGCCATGCTGGCCATGTTCCATAGCAGCTCTTGGAACTCCCAGGGGACAGAACATCTGTCCTGCTTGTGTGAGACCATCCCTGGTGCTGACCTGAGGACAGGACTTCTCAGAGAGGACCAGTGGTTCCCCTTTGTCTTGCAGGTGGTTCCTGAAGAACTATGCTGTGAATTTTTGCATCTCCCGGGAGATCAGTGGGACAACCTCTCAGCCAATTGGTGAGTGATACCTGTGTAATGCAGCTGCCCTCCCCAGGGAATGGCATGGCTCTTGTAAACCTGGGTTTGGCCACAAATGCAAAGGGCCCATCTCTTGTTCTGACAATGACAATCCATTGCAAGGTGCTCTAAGGGAATACTGCATCTTTGGACTCTCTGAAATGGAGAACAGAGCTTGCAAATTGCATGTACTTAAAAGGATGATCTGAGGAACACAGAGTACAGAGAGTTGCTGGTGGCATCCTGTCATTGGGTTTTTCTATTCTACTGCAATTTTATCTCTCCCTTAATTCTTTCAGGACTGAAGTTTTAAATAATTAGGCTTCCACCAGTGTGCACATGAAACCTGTGCCCACCATTCACCCATTAGCCTCAGGCCATTCCTGCCCAGACACGGGCACTGTTTAGAACGTGCTGGACATGGGAGGTCACTGCAGGTGTGAATTTGGCATGTAGTGTGATGGACATTTGCACTATTAAAAATTTCACTCCTGGCAGAGTTGAGACAGTGCAGCTTCTGTGATGCTCCATGTTTCCAGCCACCTTTTACACTGCAGCTCTCAGAGGTTTCAGTCTTTGGCGCTGTGGCGTTTATCCATGCCTCTTGTATATTTTATTGTAAACATCTTCTCAGGAAGAAACTGCAGAGATCTGAGTCTGAGAGTACAATAAATCTTAGGGGACAGAGCCCTCTCAAGCCTTCTCAAACTGAAATCATGGTTTCTCCTTGCCCAAGTCTTTTCCAGTGGGGAAGTTTTAACAGTGGCCTCACACTGAAATGCCCTTGTTTGCCTTGCTTTCCCAGTCAAAGGCAGGTGCACAGCCACAGAGGACCACAGAGGAGCTGCATGGGATGAACTGAGTTTCTCCAAAGGAGACAGCATAGAAGTCATTGGCTTCTTCATTCCAGGACTCCCATGGTTTGTGGGCAAATCCATCAGCAGTGGGAGCATCGGCTTTGTCTCAACCCAATACATAAGTCCCGAGGCTTGTGAACCTCTGTAAGTTTACTGCTACCCTCTAGATTGAATTAAACTCAGGAGAAAATGAAGGGAAGATTCCAAGTCCCAACTCAAGGTTATATGAGAGTTCAGGGCAGGTAATTTGCAATGCAAGGCCTTCATAGATCTGTCTGAGATTTGTCCAGAAGCCTTGGCCAGGCTCTGCTGCCAACAGGCTGCAGGAGTCTTTGCTCAGACAAAGCAATCGTTAGTGCACTTGCCTCAGGTGATTCTTGGAGAGGAACAGATCTGGCCCTGGGCTAAACCTGGCTTTATGCTAAGGCAGCCCAGGACTTCTGTGTACCAGACAAGCTGTCTTCACAGTTCCACCTAGGAATGTTCTTGACTTTGTAGCTTTGTCTGAGGGGCTGTGAGTCTGCAAGGTGGCGAGAGCAATCACTGCTGAGGAAACGAACTCCTGCTTTGCTTCCTTCTGCCCTTTTGCTTTCCATGGGATTTCAAGGCAGAACAACCACAGGTACAGTTCCTCACTGAGCAGAGTTAAACACCCTCCCAAGTACACAGACAAGAGTTGTCTGGGGAGAAACGGTGACACAACCCCACTCTGATTATCTGGACAGTTGGTGGCTTAGAGACACATCTCCAGTTCAATACCTATCCAAAAAGGCTTCTCCTCCAAGAGTGTGTGTGGGAGGATGAAGTCTTAAACTATTGCTAGGTCTGTTGGGCTTTCCTGGATCATGATTACTCATGGTATGTCTTAGGCATTTTTCTCTGACACTACAGAGAACAGAGAGGAGATCAGATGTTGCCCTGGCCTCAGAAAGGGCTTCTGGATACAAAAAAGACCAATAGGTCCTTCCTTCTGTTACTCATCAGTTCCTCCATGGAGAACCTGGATCTGAGAGTGCTGGTGAGGAAGGTGTTCAGACTCCTGTTTTCATCTGCAGCAGAGATTTCTGGTGGGAGGAAGAGGAGGGATGGGAAAGCTTTGGATGTAGTGTCAGGGGATGGGGACATGTTGACTGTTTTCCTTGATGTCTGCCTCAACCTAGGGGAAAAGGCTTGGTGTTTCTGAGTGAAGAAGAAAAATCCCCTTTCCTACACATCCCCTGCAATGGTGGCGAACAGCACTTCACCACTCTCCTCAGTGACTTGGCACGCACTGACATCACCTCTGTGTACCGGCTGGGTGAGTTTTCCCTCTCCTTATGTGCCCAGCCCCATGGCTCCCCGTGGAAAGCAGTGCTGGGCAGTGTCTAGAGAACTCCTTGCATGGGGCTTTGCAGAGGAGACAGTGGCTGTGGTTGACACAGCCTTCAAGCCCTCTGCTCAGCTGGTCCTGGACATTGTAGATATCCTCAAGAGCTGGGCCCTGACACACTGCACTTTGTTGAGGTCTTCTCTGCTTCCAGGGCAGCTCCTCAGCTGTAGTTCACCCTGGCAGATGCTGCTCTTGACTGATCCTGGCTGTAGGTCCCTGCCTATAGCAGGTCCTCTGCTGCTGTCTGACCCTTGGGTTTATACTGAGGGGGATGCACAGCTACAGGGGTAGGTGACACCATGTCCAAGCCCATAGCGGGAGCCAGGAGGTCAGCGTTTCTGGGTACTCTTCTCAGGTTCTCTATGCTTGCTGTGTGGCTTTTGGACCACAATCTCTATTTCTTGCCTTCTCACTACCTAGAAGCACAATGTGGCCATGCAGGGCTGAGCTTGGAATCCGTGGAGGCTCAGGGGACCTCCCAGACCAGCCAGCTCAGGTGCAATGAGCCCGGGGTAGACCCTTAGAGATACACACGTATCTGAAACCTCTGAATGGACACAACAATGTTCTTAAGAGAGAGAGAGAGCTGATAAAACCCTACCTGTGAGAAACAAGACCTGCTTGTTCCCAGGTAATTATAATGTTACTGGTGCTAACTTCGCCACCAGCTAAAAGCTGTTCTCCATGGTCTTATGTGGAGCCAAGCCCCAGCAGACAGGAGGTTTGAAACTGCATCTGCGTGTGGTGCCTGTGGCCAGAAGTAAGCCTGCTCTCCCACGTTTAGGTCTGGCATTTAGTAGCACAGCAGGAGACCTCTGTGAGGTTTGAGCACTGTGTCTGCACATTAACACTGACCAAGGCTTCAGCCTTTTTGTTCTCTGTTTGTCTCTTTGTGTAGATGGTTTTGAACCTACAGCCATGTTCCCAAAAGTGCCATCAGGTGAGTACGTGGAAAGGACAGAATGGCATGCTTTTATGATGACTTCTGAGGGTGAATTTTGGCATGGGGAAACATCCCACTGTGGTTTGCCTGTCCCTTCCAGAGGCTGTTCTCCGTGGCTGTAAAGATATCCGGCTGTCCCACTCTTGGGAGGAAATAAATGACTTGGCTACAACTAGCACCTCTGAGCTGTCTAGCCCAGGGAGTGAATCAGCCCCTGCTATGTTGGAAGATGTCTTCCTGGAGAAGTTGGATGATTTTGATGATCCCAAGTTCTTTATTGACCTGAATGCTGGACACATGGAAGATGCTGATGTCTTTGACCCCATATTAACCTTTCTTAATCAAGACAGTTATGTGCCCAGTTTTCAAAGCCTCTATGATCTCAGTTTTTCTTTTCTCAACTCCACTTTTTATGGTTTCTCTGACGAGGATGAACTGGTCTTGTACCTTGAGATGTCCAGGAACTGGGCCAAGAGGACTCATTCAGTTTGGGCTCATGTCAGGCTCTGTTTCCTCTTGGGTAAACTCTGCATTAAAAAGGTCAAGTTCTCCCAGGCTCGAGTCTACTTTGAGGAAGCCATGAGCATCCTGGACAGGGGTTTTGGGGACCTGCCCCTGTTGACTGCATTACATGTGAACCTTGCCTCCATCTACTTGAAACAGAACATGAAGCACAAGTTCTCCTCCCTGCTGGGAAAAACAGTGGCCTTGCTTGTCTGCTTGCCTGGCCGCTCTTTCAGCTCTGAGAATGAACTGGAAGTCATGATGTATGTCCTGAGGGAAGCCATCGCTGTGGGTAATGCTCTCTTGGAGGCACGGGTCTGCTTCCTTATTGTCAAGCTCTTCCTACAACTTGGCAGAAATGATGAAGTACTGCCCTTTACCGAGCATCTTCAATGTCTCACCACCACTTTACTCAGCCCAGACACTAGTTCCATGCCACTGGATGCCACCCCCATCTTGAGCTACCTGTATGACAAGAAGTACTTGCCAAATATTGCTCTCGCCTCTGCCAGGTTGTTTGTTCCCAGTGGCATCAAAGGGTCACTGACACCCGTTTGGAGAGCTGGCTTCATCCTCCAAAATACTTCCAAACTCCTGGGAAGCCAACTGGAGAGGAGCAGCATCCCAGCACTGGCTTGTTTCTATCTCAAGCAAGCACTGCATTTCTCCTGTGAGACCAGAGCTGTGCCCATCCAGAGGATGCTGTGTGCCATCTTGTCCAGGATGTACCTCCAGCACGGCGTGTTGGATGGGGCAGTTCGTTATGCAGCCATGGCTGTAACCCTCAGCAGACTGATCGGCGAGGAGGAGGCTTTCGAGTCTTCTCTCTCTTTGGGGTGGATGTATCTCCTGCACAGCCAGCCGGGCCCAGCTGCAGACATCATGTGGCAGCTCTTGCGCTCTCTGCATGGGACAGACAGTATGACTCAGGGGGGAGCTGTGCACAATCTCCTGGCCATTGCCCTCAAAGGAGAAGGGCAGGTGCAAAAGGCTGCAGAGAACTACCTCTGGGCCCTGCACAAAGCCAAGGAAACTGGGAACAAGAGGAACCAGGCTATTGCCCTGGCTAACTTGGGGCAGCTGAGCCTTTCACGTGGGGCATGTCAGCTCTCTGAGCTCTACCTGCTCCAGTCGGCTCAGCTCTATGCTGAGCTCCAGGGCAGCGAAGACCTGGAGATGGAGTTGGTGCGAGTGCTGCTGTGGCTAGCGCAGGCCATGGTGAACAGGCAGAGGATGGAAGATGCCAAGCTTTGTTATGAATTGGCGTTGGTTTTTGCCCTGAAGTGGCATAACGTGAGGAGTGAGTACAGCTTTGCTGGTGGGAACCAGGGCAGCGTTCATCTCTGTGCAGCACCCTGTCAGGTCTCTAATGCAGTCCCCTTATCTTCCTTTTCCCTTCCCTGTACCATGCAGGTCAGCTTCACATCATTGAGTCTCTCTGCCATTTCTACAGCAAAGTGTCTCCCAGTCTCCAGGCCTGCATCACCTACCATGAGCAGTGGGTATCTCTGGCACAACAGCTGCAGGACAGGGAGCTGGAAGGCAATGTCCAGCAGACCCTCAGCCAGCTCTACCAGGCTTTGGGCACATCTGGGTAAGTCTTGTCTGTGGCTGTTCGATGCTGTTAAGAGTGGGGTCCCTGCTCACCCGAAGACAGAGCAGTGGCTTTTGTGGGGTGTTGAGAGAGAGAGGTGGGGGAGGCGCGTGGTAGCTCTAGCTGCCCCACAGGCAGGCTGCCAGCTAATGTGCTGCTGGGATTTGTGAGCTGTCGCTGTGTGGTGAAGAGGGGAACAGTTCAATGTCAACCAGAGCACCGTGACAGCCAGGCAAACACCAGGCTGTTAGCTGGGACAGAACTGGGGTCTGGCCAAACACAGCTTTCCAGAGAGACATCCAGCCTTGATCAGAGGGGACCCAGCGACAGGGAATTCATCACTTCCTTTGGAGGCTTATTCCAGTGATTAATCACCATTCACCAGTAAAAATAGGTTCCTTATCTCTTACTTGAATAAGTCTGGCTTCAGCCTCCAGCTGCTGAGTCTGCCCTTCCTATCTCTGCTGGAATATTTTCCCCAGGGAGGTACTTAAAACCCATATCAGCTCACCTTTCAATCTCTTGCTTGACACATGCAGGTGACCGATTAGATTGGGTGGGAGGGGAGAGAGGGACTTGAACAGACCACAGACTTTCTTCAGTCTTTGAAGGCAAACATGTCAAACAGGGGAGATCTAGCTCCCATGTCCCAGAAGGACAAATGGGCAGGGGCTGTCATTAACTTGGATGTTAACCTTCCCATGCTAGGTCACAGTGAGTTCAGAGGGAAGGCATTTAGGAAGCAGACGCCTGTCATGTGAATGGTGCTATTTAAAATCACAGAGCACCCTATTCCCTGGGCTCGAAGGACAGCTGGAGTCCAGTTGCCATCAGGCGAGACACCAAGCAAACAAACATGCCCTGGGCACTGCCTGGTGCTCTCTTTGTCACAGTTGCCTACTGGAGGCAGTGTGTCCAAATTGCTGGCTCGTCCTGCTGCTTGTCCCTTTGTCCTCTAGTGACCATGGGCTTGAAAAGGGGCTATAAGGTCTTGCACATGTAGCTGTAGATCTGCTTCTTTGCCTGCACTGAGGGACAAGCAATAAGAGAGATGTGATTTGGGGTGCCAGATGCTGTCTGGAAAATGAAGGTGCAAGCACTCCCTGCCTATGCCACCATGTGTAGCTGGGAGTGACTTTGGGTCTTAGTGTAGGGGGACATAGGTTTTTCAGATGACTCGACAAAACCCTTTTTATCAACTAAAACAAGCAGGCGTGGGGAGCAGCCCCTCTGGGATCAGGTTACCTTGGGGCTCTGATGAGCACTGGGGTCCTAAGCTGGTCTAAGGTGGCCGGATGATACACACACATGCACTAAATCATGGTGACTTCCACGATTTTACCAGGATGCACTGCTCAGAGCTGTGGCTGTCCATTTGGCTCTAACCTTTGGCAGCTGTTGGAGAAGACAGGATTGCCGATGGGGAGGTGTTGTGGTAGCTTTGCAGCTGGTTGCTGGGGGCATCCTGTGATTTGTCTGTAATAGCTTTTTGCCTGTTACCATCACAGAGCTTTGAGACAGTCCCTGGACTGCACCAAACAGAGTCTAAGGATCTTCATCGACCTTGAGGAGACTGTGAAAGCTGCAGAGGCCTGGCTGCAGGCGGGAAGGCTCTATTATCTTATGCAGGAAGATGAGCTGGTGGAAATGTATTTTCAGGTATGGAGAAGGGGGCTGGAGCTGTTCCATCCCCACCCTGGCTAGCTGCATTCCCGTTACAGCTCCTTGGTAGGAGCCTTTTGGGGATGGAAGACCTGGAAGGGAGAGTTCTTATGAGCAGTGTAAACCTGTTGCTGGAAGGAGGAGCTGTTGCCTTATACTCATGCACTATCTGGCACAAAATTTCCTATCTTTCCTTCCATACACTGGGTTTAGAGGATTCTTGGGTGAAAGTAATTGAATTTATTGACTAAGAAAGTGATGTAGGACTGCCAAAGGAAGCTGGAGGTGCCAGGTGACTGGCTCCCATTGAAATACAAATAGATAAGTGGTAAGGTGCCAGGGAAGTGCTTGGAGACTCCTTGAAGTAGAAGACTATTGGCTTCTTTCCATCTCTAGCATTATTTTATCAGCTGAGATGCAAAGTGGAAGAGCAGTTCATAAAGTCTTAGGGGTCCCTCATTCAGTGAGAGGCTTACATTAAAAGATGGGAGATCTTTCACATGCCCAGAGTGAGCAGAGCAGAAGGCTGGCTGGGTGTGCTGGAGTTGCACTGAGCTGGGGTGTCCAGCAAAGCACCAGCCTGGACACATGTAGAGGATGTTTTGTGTCCTTGCTCTGTTACGAGGAAGCAATTCGGAACTGGTGGGGCTTGGTGACTGAGTTACACAGTGGTGGGCACAAGGAGAGGAGCCTTTCCCATCAGCCACACCAGCTTGCCCCTAAATCAGGGCGGTAGAGGCAGTGAGTTACTGGTATGGGGTGGCTGCTCAGTGACATGGGTGAAATGAGGCATCAGCCTGTTTCCTAGGGCTCACAAGGGGGATCTAAGGCCCATAACAAAGAGCTATCATTGCCTCCCTGGCTCGTGGCTTCAGCAGGGAGGCAGGGGCTAAAGGAGGGGTGACTTCCCATTATGAAGGGCCAGTTGACACCAGATCTCAGCAGGGCACATCTGAGTCCCTGAGGGCCCTTTCCCAGACAAGGTCACTGGCAATGATAAATTATCATGGTGTAAGAAACAACATGTTCTGGCTGGAAGGTGGCACCAGGACCAAATGCGTAATTGGCACAAATAACTGTTCTTCCCCAGAAGTTAATGTACATACCCTCCCTCCTGCTGGCTCGGCCCTTTCTCTGTATAAGCTGTCTCATCCCCTTGGCAGTCTACACGTTGGCTCAATCATACCAATGACAGAGCAAGGCCAAGGCAACTGCTGGCCCCACTGTCCCGACTCTAAATCCTGATGCCGTTGGATATCCCAGCTGATCAGTTTGTTGCACTGACCCTGCACAGGGATGGGTTATCTGGCTCCTGGATCCATCCTTACACACATTACTTGCCAATGCATCACAACAGACCCATACACCTTCTGGCCAACCCATCTCCATGCTGTTTGGAGCACAGGGGCTCAAATTTATGATGACTTGATTTTATTTAATCACACCAATGTCTATGTGCAAATGTCTCTTTCCAAGGCTTACTCCAGTTCTTTATCCTTCTAGGCAGCCGTTCAGACTGCTCTGAAATGGGAGAACTTCTCCTTGGCCATGGATCTTTATGAAAAAGCAGGTGATACCTTTTTTAATGGCAGCCGAAACAGAGATCGAGCGGTGGAGTTTTATAGGGTATCGATCTCTCCAAGCATTTCTGTCCTTGTGTTGCTGCAAGGTGGTGGCTGTGAGGAGCTTTGCCCCAGGGCTGGCTGCAGGACTGTGTGACCAGGCTGGAGGGGTGGAGAGTGGAGAGGGATGGGGTGATTCTGAGTCTGCCAGAGCGCTGCAGGGGGGAAACTGGGGGCACAGACATGTTTTGCAGTAGCTGCAGCTCGCCCCAGAGATCATTTGGGAGGTGGGAACAGGGTTCTTGCATTACAAATCCTGGCAGTTAGGTGTGAGCTGGTCACTCCTGAGGACATGCTCAGTCAGAATTTCAGGCACCCTAAAAAGGGGAGGCTCAGGTTTTGAGAACCATGCTCTGGGACATGAAACTCATTTCATAGAACCTGAACCTTCAGCACTCAGCCACCTCATTGTCTGCCTGCCATGGCAAGCGCTTGATCCATCTCCTGCTGCTCTGTCACCCCTCTGTGGGTAGTGCTGTGCTGATACCTCCAGGATCAGCCTGGACTGACTGTTCTTTCTCCTCAGGGAGGTGCTGTGCCCTTGGCCAGGAAACTACAGGATACTAAGACAGAGCTACGGCTGTTCAATAAGCTGGCAGAGCTGCAGATCGGTCTGCAGGGCTACGAGAAGGCGCTGGAGTTTGCCACGCTGGCAGCTAGACTGAGCATCAGGGTCGGTGAGTGATGCACACCCACAGGGCACAGGGACTTACTGGCTTCTGCAGAGGCGGTTGCCTTTCTGCCTTTCTGCATGAGAACAGTGTGCCCATGAAAGGGGGATCTCCTGCTTTCATAAGACTGTTGATTCTTATCCTAACTGGTCACATCTTTTTAAGGCCACTTCCCTTTTTAGGTTGCATGTCAGCCATATGGGAGTGCTCTGCCGTGGCTGTGGTGTGACCAGCTGAGCAGAGAGTTGTTGCTACACCGGATCAAGGGAAGTCTTATGATGGCACAGAACTGAACAGTTTCCTGTCTGTCCTGGCTCTTCTGATAAATTAATCCCTTCCCATTACAGAAATAGTTTGAATGGGCATAATGCCAGCATAAATGTTGGAGATGGAACCAGTGTTGTAATAGCCCTTTCCAGAGCCCCAGAAATCCCCTGGTTGAATGATAGTGTCCCTGGGCAATCTGTCCAGCCTTGGCATCAGCAACCTGCCCATGGCTCTGTTTTCCCTGAACCATCTTCAAACCCAGTGTCTCCTTATGAAGATATCCATGCCCCCAGGCTGTTGAGCATATGCATCCCCAAGCAGCTCAGCATGCTGGGCTGGGGATGTATTGCGAGCGTGCTGCAGGCTGACTGTATTGGCAACTGTTGTTTTCCAGGAGATCAATTGCAAGAGCTGGTTGCATTCCACCGCCTGGCTACAGTCTACTATTTTCTGCATATGTATGAGATGGCAGAAGATTGCTACCTGAAGACGCTTGCCCTGCGTCCCCCCTTGTTGCAGTGCTCTGGAGAGGCCCTGTACTACTGCAAGGTGTATTGCCACCTTGGCAACTTGACCCTGCACAAACTGAAGGTAGGAAACTTTTCCTTGAGGCTGTATTGAACACTCCGGGCTTGACAGAGAGCTGGAGGTGGAGTATCACATCCACTGGCAGAGCAGCCACACATGTAGATTGTTTCATCCTGTGACTCTCCATCCTATCTGCGGCTTCAGAATAAATGCACACAGTGCTGGCACAACCAGGTTTTGAAGGGGGAAAGACAATTTAGAAAGAAGTGCTGGCACTTAGCTGCGACTATATAAAGCCCATTTCAATGACGTCAGGTGTCACTGGGTTCTGCCTGGAACCACTGGTCTCTGCTCCAGCTCCCTTATACCCTGTGATCTTCAATTAAGCCACTTCCTAATGCCTGCCCTGTCCTTTACGTTAGGATGAACAGGATGCAGCAGCCTACTTCCTCCTGGCCCTCGCCGCAGCAACTGAGCTGGGAGACCAGAAGCTGCAAGATCTCATTTATACCAAGCTGGGTGACATCCCCAGTGCCCCACGGGTGCTCGAGGGCACACCGGGCTCTGCCACACACCGGCCCAGATGGCTGACTGAAGGTGGCCATGTCGTCTGACCAACCTGCCACCCTGGGGACTCCGCTATGAGCCATCAACCAGCGCTGTGCCATGCCAGTGGCATGGGTCCATGTGCTCCCCACAACAGCCAGTCCAGGAGAGGTCCTGAGCCACATCCTAAGTAGCTGGCAGCATGTGGGCTTCTTGTCCCCTACAGGCAAGGGACCAAGTACCCTCATTTTTCAGGAGAAGGGCTGTGCATCACAGTCCAGGCAGCACATTGAGGCTGGGTGTCTGGCCAGGATGAGGTCCCTGCAGTGGTGCTGGAGTGTACGGTGCAGCAGGGCTGAGAAAGATGGCATTTCAGGAGTGCAGCTGCCCTGCCTGCGACAGGGACAGGGAGGGCTTCCTTGTGCCTGCCTGTCCCCCCAGCTGCCCCACACATGTCAGTTCCCATGGGGCAGCTCAGCCTGACCCAGATGTCTTTTAACTTGAATAGCAACTCCTTTATTTATTTCTATCTGGTTTTTGTTCTGTCTGCTCTGTAGAGGTCTGTGACCCATACCTCTGTAGAGCCTGGGGCCCCTTTAGTACAAGGGACAACCAAAGCTTTTTGGCAGTGAGAGGCAGAATTAGTGAAAGGAGAAAAATGAAAAGGGCTGGTCAAGTCTCACATGGGAACAAGCCCTGTATGCAGGTGGGCAGCAGCTCAGGGGGGAGGCAGAGCCCACCCCCACCCCAGGCCTGCCATTCAGTCCCAGCTCTTGCACTGGAGCAGCCAGGGTGGCCTCTGCTGCCCGTGTGGACTTTCAGCATCTAAAGCATGAGCATAAAGCTTTGCAGCCCAGCACCCTTCCCAGCCTCTCTTTCTCCAGGCTGCAGAGCCCCGTGGGACACAGGAGCGCCAGGGAGCGGACGGTGAGGATGGGGACACTGTGCAGTGGCACACATCCAGCCCCCCAGACAGGGGTGCTGATGGGGAGCAGGGGGACTTTCAGTGGGGAGAGGCAGCTGCCTTTGCATGGACCATTGGCAGTCAAAGAAGTAGGCTGCCCAGCAGACAGCAAGCTGCCTTCAAGTGTCCTGAGCTACATGGCTGGAGCGAGCAGGGGGAGCGGGAGGCACGGAGGAGGCTTCTCCTGAGAGCTGCCGCCCAGCACCGGGAGCAGCACGCAGCTCTCCTCCCCAGCCCATCTCACCACCAGAGAGCAATAAATGCCCACATTTGCAGCCTCACACAGGCGAGTGATAATAATACCAGCCTCGGTTTTCAGTCTGGACTGGTTCAAAGTGAAGAATGAACAACTTTTTCCAGCTCATCTCTTTGCTCTGACAACCAGTGGCCAGCCACCCAGCTGGGGCTTCACAGAGAGACCCTGTTCCAAGTCCTTCCACCTCCCTGACATGCTCCACTGCTTGGACATACTCAATGCAGAACATTTATGTCCTTGCTGCTCTTCGCAAACGCTGAGTTCATTTTCCCCTTCTAATCCATGCAAGGCATCCATCATCGGAGCAATACTTTACTGCTTGTTTACTGAACATTCCTGCAATGCCATTAGGGTAGCCTCAGCCCTGAGCTCAGAGGAGGTAAATCTTAATCTCATTTGAAATACAGCAAGCTCAGAGGACAACTGGTCCCCCAAACCTTCCTGCCTCATTCGATGGGGCTGCCTGTTCTCAGTTCAGGTGGCTGGTGCTCACCGTGCTATGGCAGAATCTTTTCAGCAGTTTTTCAGTTCAGTTTCTCTTTTATTTTCATACATGGGGAAAAGCACAGTCTCTTATCTGTGTGCCAGAAGGCAGGTCAATGACTGGATATCAGGCTATCAAGGAGAGGGAAGAGAAGGAAGCTTTGATGGCTCTGAAAGACCTGAGGGTCTGCGTGATGCAGAAGTGTCCTGCCCTGGCACCAAGATCTGCACCCATCTCTCCTGCTGTGCCCAGCACCTCGCTTAGTGGTGATCTCCAACCCCACAATAGCTTTCCTGCAGCAGCTGCTTCACCCAGACTGCCTGGTCCTTGTGGTGCTATGGTGCTGTGAAGAGCCTTTTCACCTGGGGGTGGGGATGTGGGTGGCTGGACCTCTATCTGTACTAGAGCCCCTAGACCAGTGGCCAGTGGCTGTTGCAGTTCTTGTCAAAGTTATGCCCAGTGGAGGATGAATCATGCAGAGAGTATCCCCGCTAAAATATCCTTTCTAGAGCCAAACCCGAGGCTGTTCCGCCTAACACCAGTGAGAAAAAAATGATTTGTTTGAACATAGAGGGTCAGTGTCTCAGCTGTTCTAAATCAGCTAAGCTCCATGAAGTCAAACAGAGATGTTCTGATTTTCAAGGACTGTGGATCTGGCCCATGGTTTTTAACCAAATGTGTCCCCATTAAATCACAACAAACAAATTTGTGGTGGTTGGTGGGGAGAAGAGACTTGCTCCTTGAGAACATCCTATAAAACATCATTTCTCCTCTCCCTCATCTGCCTGCTTGCCCGCCCACTCCCACATGTTGTGACAAAGCTGGGATGTTTTCCTAGTGGGATGAGAGGTCAGGGTGGCCAGGGCTAATTAAGCTCCATAATAATACTTGGAAATAAAGTGAAATTTAAATCAGCCAGTCATGCGTACCGGCTTCTGGTCGTGTGCCCATGGCAGGGTGAGGATACTGTGTCCCTCCAGCCACCAGTGTGGTTTCATGGGCAAAGAAACAGATACTTTGGGGATTTTGTGCCAGAGATCACCAGGTGATGGCTCAGGTCCTGGGGCAGCCAGGTTGGGGGTTATCATCCTCCACCCATTCTTGGGTGGGGGGATGTTGTCCATCATTCTCAAGGTATGGCAATGAGGAGTTGTCTGTATTTTAGACACAGCAGGGAGCACCTGTGTGTGCATGTAGGGAGGGATCTCAGGGACCACGTAAGGGATATACACCCAAGGTGCTGCAGGGTGCAGAGCCTGGCCAGAGCTGTGATGTTGCTCCAAGAGAAGGTTGTAGGAGCAGGACTGTAGGAACTCAGGAGGTATTTCTCCTATGGTAGGTATTGGCCACCAGTGTCCATCTTTCCTTCACCAGCACTAATGTCAGCCCAAACAGATGGGGGAAGAATTAGGGAAGGGGAAAGAATGGATCAAGTCTCCTCTTACACCAGGTGTCATTATCTTGCCGTGGCTTGTGACTTATTTCTGAGTCACATGTGACTCTCTGCTCCATGCCCAGTCCCAGGAGTCTTCCTTCTTTCAGTCCTCAGCCAGATGAGCTGGAAAAAGGACTGGTGGGGACCACGTGCAGTAGCACATGCCTTCACATGGCTGCTAAAAGCAGCACCTTCCTTTCCAGCACTTCCAAAGGGTAAAGGGTGCTGTAGGAACCTCCTCACTTTGGCTTCAGTGCTTCTGTGTGCCAGTATCTGGATCTGGTGCCAACCTGTTTCACTCCAGTCTTTCATCAGTGTGACTCTCCAGGCACCAGTGCTACCAGTCCTGACATAAGCCCACCTAAGAGCCAACACTGGCACTCTGACCCATTTTTGTTTGATGCCTCAGGGGGCCATTTAAGGCCTGGAGTAAAGAGTGACTGGATTTTTTTAACATATACTCATTCTTGGACAGTGGAAATACCATGACAAGAATAATTCTTGGATCATCTTAGCTCCGGTGTGAGCCTCCCAAGGCATTAGGGAAAAGGAAGCACTGATAACTGTAATAAATAAATACAGATAGACTCATAGAATCGTTTAGGTTGGAAAAGAACTTTAAGAACATTGAGTCCAACTATTGACCTAGCACTGCCAAGTCCACCACTAAACCATGTCTCTAAGATAGGGACAGAAGTGCAGAGATAGCTAGATTTATTTGGGTTTACACAGAAACTATTCTTTCATGCAGAAATACAACACCCAACAATAATAATTATCAGCAGACATCTTTCGTCATTCCCTTACTGTACAGTGCTGCAAATCTTCACTGGGCCTGTATTGGACAGAGGCTGGACTGGATGGAGAGACCCTCCTGTTCCTGTCTGTACCATCCAGCTCCAGCAAAGCCTTTTTCCACTCCATGACTCAGATCCCATGGGTTAAACGAGGGATAGAAACCCTCTCTGAGTACTGCCAAAGCACGGCAGTTGGGCAGGGAAAGCACATGGTGCTTGGGAGGGAAGTCTGAATTTTGGTGGTGTGCTGTGTGGATCCAGGGTACAGGTGGGAGCCGCCTCTCCCATTCCAAGGACCCTGCTCTGGGCATCCACCTAACCAGAGTCATCAGCCACAGCTGATGCTGATGCACCACCCCTGCCAAAAGCACACCATGGCTATGCAGAGCTCTTCTGGAGCTCAGTGCCCAGGTTTTGTAGCTGGTGTCCACAGATGTCACATTGTTTATCCATCTCTGTCAACCTTGGACTTTGGCATACTTGGCCTCCAGCATCAGCCTGCCTCTGCTGGAGGCTCCTCCATGATGTGGAAAAGCAGAGAATCTGAGGCAGAGGAAAATCTGAGCTCATCTTATCTCAGATGTGGCTGGTCTTCTCTAGCCAGTATCTTCTTCTGTTGCTTGGAACATTAATGAGAAGTTGGTAAACACCAGCTGTTCTACTAAGCAGAGGTAGGTGAAGTATGTAAACTGGGCAATTTAGAATAAAAATCATTTATTTTCACAGTAACCTGGGTTTTTGTTCAGTGGTAATTGGGATCATAAATATGTATGCCAGAAGGCGTATCGGAGGTTGATGCCGGGAGGCTGAGCAACAGCCAAGAGTTGCTAACTGTAACTGCATGTGCTTAAATAAACCTTCCCTTCCCTTCCCTGTGCTATGGTAAGGTGGGCAGCAGCACGATGCAGCCTGTCTGTGTGTGTGCTGAGATGAGGGGGCTGTCTGCACCTGAGAGCTTACTGTGTCCCTGGGGGAGGGGAGAAGCAAAACCAAAAAGAGAAGGATGGGGCAGCTGGGAAGTGACCAATGACTGTGGATAGCAAATAGTGAGATCAGATGTAAAAAAATCCCCAGTTGAGATTAAATACTTGTTGTACTGAGATGGCATCAGGCATGTGTCAGCCCTGGAGCTGTCATTTCCCTTGTCTCTGGTCATAGGACACCCAGATATCCCCAGGACTTACCAGCACTGATCTCCAGAGTCACTTTCTGCTCTCATGAGCACTTTGCATTTGGCAGGACTGATGGGAGACCAGTGCTGGATGCTGTGCTGGGCTTTGCCAGGGAAAACATCTCTCTGGGACCAGACAGGGCATTATCCCTTCCAAGCGTACAGCTGGTAGAAACCATGTGTGCTAGTGACAAGGACACGTGGAAGGGCAACTGGGTCTCCTGGATACCAGATGATGGGCAAAGAGTTCCATGTTCCTGTCTTGCCCCAGCTCTGCAGACAAACACGATGGTGCCAGGGTGCACTAAGGGTCCCAGCTAAGCTGCTTATGGCTCCTCAGCTCTTGCGTGCTGTCCCAACAGCTACGGCTCCTCTGAGAGGGAAACACGGGCAGGAAACTTGGCAGCAAGAGGCTGCCCTCACCGCAGCACTGGAGACAAGTGTAGGAAACAGCAGAAGTGCCAACAATTCCTGTCACACTAGAGGGGAAAAAATATAAAAAAGACGGTATTTGGCTGCCATGAAGGCTGTTGGGATACAGTCCAGGAATTGGGATAAATACAAAGAAATGAGCCCCTGAGCACCAGACGGTTTTTGAGAAAGGAAGAATGAATTCTTACATAACCAAATTCCCTTCATGCACTGATTATGGGGTGGTTTTTATTTTGCTATTTTGTTTGGTTTGGTTTTTTTTCTTTCTTTTGCACCTGCTGACAGTGGTGTTGAGGCCACACAAGAATGCATAAACATACATCAGTGTGTAGGGAGTGATGGCTGCAGCATTTATGTCTTGACTCTAAGGTTTCATTCTGTCTAAGACACCTTCAGTTCCTTGCAGCTGGTTTTTGAATTGCAGCATGACTTTTTTCAGAGTATCAGTACAATATTAATCAGGTTAAAGTAAACCCTTGCTCCAGTGCTTTGGGAAGGATTTTCAGAAGTTCCTATGTGACTGTGGTGTGTCAGGTTTGTATTCTTCTGAGTCCCTCCCAGGCTTCCCTAACCCATCAGCTGGGCTTTCCCATCTTGTCAGAACTCATGATCTGACAGAAGAACAAACTGCATGCTCTGGTGATGGCTACACTGGGGCAGCCCATGCTGGAGCAGCGCTGAGGTGCAAGGCACCTGCAGGGATGCTCTGGATCCCTGGGCAGCCAGACCTGACAGGAGTGTCATTGCCTTACAAGCCATCTCTCTGTCCTCTATGTCTGCATCATCTTATGTCTATTTTGGAAGCTAATTGATACTCCAGAAGCTCCAGTCATTGGGGATGACAAGGCCTGCTTTACACCTGGTGGCTTCTGCAGAGTAAGGTTTGTGAGTCTGTTCTGGCTTCTGAGTCCTTTCCTTCTGTGTCCTGCTGAACACTTCCTCAAAGTACCTTTGTCTGGGATTGACATATTTTCTGCTTAAATCTCCTTGATGCCATCTTGACAAACTAGTAGACATGAGTACTTGCAGCGTGGCTTGTTCTTCAGCTTCTTTCCAAACCTGCCTTGAAAACTGGCACATAACTCCTTTTTAGATGCCACGTCCCTCTGTGCTCTCAGTGTTCATCTCAGATTGGGAATCTCTTGATCTCATCTGTTGTATTTTCATGTGGAAGGATACAATGGTTAAAGAGACACTTAGGCAAGAGTGTCCATTAGATACTTTACAAATCCTAATAGTCTCTGAGGAGACATCTGGTCATTTGCATTTGCTTTTTGTCTGGAAGGCTGTTGGCTTTGGAAGTCAGCAGGTGTCCCTTCAATGGTGCCACAGTCACTGAAAACTTCATCTTGCTTTTGTTCAAGCTGAACCCTGCTCCTGCCTCTCCTCGAAGACCTAAGTCAGGACTGTGATGGGTGGTGTTTCAGTGCCTCACCCCACAATGTCATCTGCTGTGACATTGTCTTGCCAGCCTGGAATGCTGCTGGCAGTCCTGTTCTTCCACTTATATTTTAACTCAGGTTTGTGACTGTCTACATCTGGCTGATGGAGAAGGAAAATATCACGTGAAGGACTGAGAATGCGTCATGGCCTCTACCTTGTTGGTGAATGGGCTTCTCTTCCAATTTACTTAATTCCCTCCCTTATTTTTACTTTCAGTTCAGTACATTGTCCCTGGGCAGATCCCATACTGTATGAAACATTCCTTTCTTTTTACTGGTACCAATTCTCTAAGACTTCTCCTCCTGGAAATCCATCTCGGGTACCTTACTCTGTTTTAGTAGAGGCATGTCACAGCATGTCACCTGCACTTGGGACTTCTTTGTGTATTTCTTCTGACTGTAATACACAAAGACTTTCTCTGAGGTTTGGTGCACGGGGTTTGTGACCAAAGTCTCCAACTGCACTGCTTCTTCCCATGGTGCTGTGGGAATTTCCACCTTGCAGCTCCTGCTGTGGCTGTGCCTGCATAAACACTTCAGTGTGGCCTTACCTGCTTGGGCTGTGCCATTTCCACTTCCAGAGTTTCTGTTCACACACAAATCCCCTGATGTCCTGGTGCCATTTTGACACTGAGTTTGAGGCTGATCTGCATGCAGCTGCCTCACTTTGACTGAACTAGTCTGGGCACTCATTTCTCTGCTAATTTGACTACCTGCGGTGTCACCTGTGGGCAGACAGAAACCTTCAGTCATGGCTTTGACAGGGCGTCCCTTTCCCTTGCTTTTCTTTTCTGCAGGCTTTAAGATAACAATTTCTCTTGCCATGGTGACCGTACAGGAACCATATGCACGTCATTTTCCATTGTCATGTTTTTCTCAGCACCACCCACAGACCTTTCTTTGCAATTATCTTTCTCTTCTGCTTTTTATCTCTGCATATTCGCTTGGATGTGTTTTGCTTTTTTCTCTCATTTCCTCTGCTAGACTGTGGAATATTGCTGAGCCCATTTCAGTCGCCCAGCAAGCCTGCCCCTGGGTGCCCTTTCTCAGACAAGCTTCTTCCCGTTCTGTAGTGAAAAACCACAGCTCTGAAGGCTGGATTATTTTACCAGGTCAGATGCTTTGTGAACTTCAGGCATAAACAAATCTGTTGTTTTCCAGGCTCACAACTGGATGTTGTTTTCCTGGATCACAACCATTGATAAGATGCTGCTCACTGATGCTGATTTCTAGCAGACACAAAGCCTTTCCCATGCCTACCCATCACTTCTGCAGGTGGAGTATCGAGGGGCCTTGCAGAGCCGCTAGCAGCATATGCACATGCAACCTTTCCTGTTTCTGCTTGTAACACTGCTACTCCGGCTGCAGGACCCTGTCCCAGGCAGCCCTGCTGCAGCTCAGCAGCATTGAAGAATTCCCAATTGCTAAACATCTCCCTTCTCATGTGGAAAGCCTTGGGGCCTGAAAGCTGGTGTGCTGCTGTGCATTTTGTTTCTGGGTGCTGTTTGTTTGTTTGCTTTCTGTTTGCCTTGCTGGGTTTCTTGGCTCTCATTGCTTGTGCCTGCAGGAGCCAGCTTGTCTCTGAACCCCATTAGTGCTTCAGCCTAAGAAGCAGGGAAGCGGCACGCCACAGCTGTGGGCACTCCATGCTTTTGGACAGCTCTGCTCTCAGGATGACATGACTGCATGCATGTGACTCTGGAGCCACTCACTAAGCCCTGCTGAGAGGCAGAAGCTGTTTGCTTGGCTGTGGGTGCCAGGCTAAGACAGTGTCTGCCTATGCCTGGTGCTTGCCACAGAAAGCTTGTGCTGGTCCAGCACATGGCACAAACCCCTGTTTCACTCATCACCTCCTGCTCCAGGTCCTCCAATGCTGCCTGGAAGTATCAGTCCCTGCCAGTCTCTACAGTCCCAGGTACCGCCTTTAATGCATGAGCACCCTAATGAGCCATGGGGTAGCTACTAACACACCTCTGGCAAGCTTCAGTGCTTGGTCCAGGGCAAGGCACTGAGGAAGCTGCAGGTGCTATTTCCTATACCGCAGCCACGTATCTGCCGTGTGTGCTACTGTGGGGGCCTGGATTTGCTTGATTTGGCAATCTGAAATGGCCAGTATCTGGCTCTTCCCAGGACTACAGGAGGCTCAGAGGTTGCAGGGTTGGGTATGAACAGCTGAGAGCACAGTGAAGCCTGGCTTGGGCAGCACTGTTCTGACCCCTCACCAGCCTCCTGGCACTCTGGAACAAGTGCACAAAACAAGGGTCACTGTAAATACCCATTCCCTGGAAACTGTGTTTCTCCAAGGGAATTGCACTGCCTGACCTTCAGGGAAGGGGAAGAATTCATAGCTTCTCTGCAAAGGACAAGGAGATTAAGATGCTCAGATGGCAGGTGAATATGATGGGAGGTGGGTCTGGGAGATTTGGACCACAGGGAAGAGAGAAAATAACAGACAACTGCACATTTTCAGATAGCTGGGATGTTGCTAACACTGACCTGTGTGAGTGTATATGTGCCTGGGGTGTATATGAGAGAGAGAAAGAAGCTCAGGAATAATTAACTGTTTATTAATATTTCCTGCTCTCCAGGCTAAAGGCCATTACCCTGAGCAGCCTCACAGACATAGCTCTGCTCTCACAGGCATCCTGAACCCATCACCTGCCAAACCATAGTTGCCATTCCTGTGTGATTGAGGGAAATGAGCCCTTTCCTTTCCCTTGCCTTCAAACAAGGGTGAGAGGCCTTGGCTGAAGCAAAACATAAACATGAACCACGATCAGGACAAAGGCA